ATATAATTTTTATAAAATTACAAAATTGAAATTTTTGTCCCACTGCCCCCTTTTGCTGTGGGGGTCCCCATATATAGATATATACTGTAGTTTAAATACTATATAAAGTTGGTTTGGATTTTATAAAAGTTTTTTTAATTACGTATTTAAACATTCATACAATATGGGTAATTATTTTTGAATCCAGACCAAAATTACGTAATATATAACATATACGGCAAAAATATATACAAAGCGTTACACTGCTTATGACGTATTATTACAATTTATTGCATTACAATCTCTTCACGGTTTATATTATGACACATGATATATTATACCGCTTACTACTTATATTACTACCTACGTCAATACGACTCCATTACTTCAATATATTTGCACCTTTAGCAATGAATATGATTAAAAATCCATCTGAGGTTATCGATCCAAGAAATTTCAGAATTTTAAACTTTCTACATACAGTAAAAATACAATTGATTATATGAAAAATCTTTAACGAATCTGATTATAACAGATTAAATTTGCCAGAGGCCCGCAACGCTGAAGAATAAAAATTTCTTCAACTGTTTTATTATGAAATTTATTACATGCTATTTACAAAACTTGCCTCTAAAAAATTTAATTAGATAGTGTAAATCACATTCATTAAATCCATCGATTGTGTTTTCGTATGGGGTGGATCAGCAGCCAATCAGATGGATTTTCAATCATACTACAGCAAAGAGAAAATTTTTTACTAAAGAAACCGTTATGTAAACCCTAATATATAAACTAAATATTTTAGCATACTAGTGGTCAATGATCTTTTTCATGCATCAATTGAACAATAAACAATACAACACTGCAAAAACTGCAAAAGTTCATGATACATACATTCGGAATTTCTTTTGTAATTTTACTAAATTATTAATATTACCCTTTAACTTTGATATATATGTTCGATTAGTGAAACATTGTCATAATTCTTTTCCTGACACGGTTAGAATGATAGTTGTCAGTGCATTTGCATTTTTTGAATTAAGTAATGCATCATTAGTTTGATTTATAATATTATTAAACAGGATGGGAACCTGATCCGCCTTGACCGTGTGACCTCCGAATCGAATTTCATCATTTTTTTAACTAGTTAAATTCACTCAGTTTTCTCCTCCTTTTTTCCTCCTTTTTTCCTCTCTTTTAATATGGCTACTTATAAACAGAAACCTGTTCGACCTCAAACTCACTATGCAAGTAGTGATTCAGAAGAAGCTTCGGGTTCAGATCAAGAATGGGTCGTGTTTCATGGAGATCGCTCCTCCAGTAAATCTTTTGACCGCAAAATCGGTATTCCCTCTAGTGACGATGACTGGCATGTTCTTAGTGACAATCTAAGTCCAACGGAAGAAGGTCTGATTGTATCTGAAAGTAACTCTGAATTCGCCAGTGACTATGATTCTGAGCCAGACCAAGTTCAGGAACACTCGGAAGATTTAGTAAACCAAGATTACATCCCCCAAATTCCTTCTCGCGACAGCGTTGAAAATTTTAATGAGACACTTTCAGATATCGATTTTACACCTAATGAAAAAAACAATTCTCCTGAGTTTGAAGAAAATCATAAATCTGAGGCAACGAATCCCAGTATCACAGGAGCCGATATCTTTGATTACAAAACCCAAAGCCAAAATGAGAATATTTCCGAAAATAGAGGAAGAACTCTTGGCAGTGCGCGTGATTCTTTAATGTCCAAATTACGTAATGTATTCCGAATTGAAGAGGAGGTTGTCTCAATAATTGAAAGAGAGCAACCACCGCAGGTTTATCAACGACTTGGAGAATCTGCCTCTGCTAACGCAAAGTTTGGGTTGGGTGATTTGGGCATGGTAAGTACGAGTCAAATTAATCGCCTTGTTCAAATAGCGTATCTTTGTCATATTTTACATATTTATTATCTTGATAGCATTATATAAAATAGAATATCTATCATATTTTCTTTATAGATGAATCCTATTAAATCACTAGCAAATGTGAACAACGAAGGCATAAATGATCATTCCGAAAATAAACAAGAGCGATTTTCACAATTATCCACTATTGATAATATGCCTATTACTTATACGCGTTTATCTTCCGGTAACGCTTCCATTATTACTAGATTGGGGAGTAGACCTAATATGCCAAAGGATCCAATGGCTGTCAAATTCGCCCCAACTATACCCAAGGATACAATAAATAATATATTGACGAACAATAATATTAACAGCAGGTATGATTTGGTTTTAAAGCTAGGTGAGATTTGAAATTTAGTTTAATTCACAGTTAAATAACGCACCCTTATTTTTATATTTAGTCATGATAATCAAGCAACTTCTAATTCCGGACGCACTTCTCAAAGTGACACAAATTCACTTCTTTCTACTGTATGGACAACTTTCCGTCGCATTACAAACAATATAATAATAAGCAGTGATTCGGAATCTTCTCATAATGATAATATTCCTTACCCCTCTATTTTGTCTCTCGGATCTTCCAGCCGTACACATCAGAGTGGTTTGGCCTCTATTATCACAGAATCTGGAGAAAGCTATTACGCTTATGATACTTGTTACCCACCTTTTGGCAACCATCTTACCCTTTCTGACCTTTGTCCCCCTTTGTATAATCATAGACCATCTACAACTACCGCTGCACCACATGCGTGCAGTGGAAGTTCTATTCCTTCATCTAATGCTGCAAGAAAACTTCTTACACCCGTTTCTAGTTCAGCAAGTTTGCAAAGCTTTATTAGTCGAGGAGGAAGTGATTGTGGATTGGAGAGTGGAAGAGAAAGGGGTACCTCTTTAGAAGTTCCTCTTGTTATGTAAAGATTTTGTTTCGAGTAAATCACTATACTTGCATATTTGTAATTAAATTCAATAAATTATTAGACACAATAAGGCCATATAAATTTAATGAATTGGTTTTTAGAATATAAATAATATAGTTCATGCGTTTTTAAAGAGGTCTATCTTTATTTTATTATATCCATAACTGTACTTTTGAATGCACATATGTATGTACCAAGTGTAACTACTGCGCAACCCTAAAATAGTATGCGCATTGATTTCGTGAGGCTTGAATATTATGCATATACACGTATCAAATATTGTATATGTCTTTCAACCTCTTAAGATTTAAAAGTACATAAGTATCTAAAACCTATTGTTTACATGAAATCCTCTTCTAAATCAAACTCCTGGTCATCACCTACGCTTTGATGGTTACTACGCATATTAGACTCAACAAAGATTGAATCATAAGAATTCTTGGCTGCCTTCTCACGGCGTTCTTGTTCTAAACGAAGTTCTTCTTGTTTCTTTTAAAATCAAAAAAATGGGTAAATCATAAATAACTTAAAAAATCAAGTATAATATAATTATTGAAATCATGTTCATGTCTTACTTTCGCATTAGCCGCTTCTCTTGCCAACCTTCGCTTTTCCTTTTCCATAGCAAGTTTCTCACCGGCAAGGTCAGGCGCAACATTTTCAGTCTTGGTTTTTTCTAATCTCCGAATTATTGCGTTATCTTTTTTGCCTACTTGTAATTTTTTCACCTAAATTATTGGAATACCATGAGAGACAAAGTTAATCAAAAAAAAAAACATGGTAGAAGTAGTAAATTGTATCACTGGTTACCTTACTATGATCATGAAAAGATACTTCTCCAGTCGCCATACCAGCAGTTTTTAACAAATTTGACCAAGGTGTATAAACGACCATAACACTTTTCTCTTTGCTTCCTATGATAGTTGACAAATATTTATACCTGAAAGTACACGATATCGAATGTGTATCATGATACCAGTATAATCAAAACCCGAACCAGCAATACTATTTGCCTTGACCAATTGTCCCAAATCATTCAAAAGCGATGTAGGAATTGTTTCCCATGATTGATCCATTTGAAGCCGAAGGTAAACATGAGCACTTGAATGTGGATGTACATGGAACTATATAATTTTGAGAAAAATAGCATCAGTTTACCTAAATTTGCTACGTAAACCATGCGATCTACATACCCTAAAATGTATAGTATCCAATCGAACATGAAAAAGAAAAGAAAACCAGTATTATTACGAGTACCGTAAAATATCCGTTATCATAATTCATCGAAGCCAATAATAGTTCATACCATACATCTTCTTCCCATCCATGTTTTATCAAATCCTCATCTTAATTTCAAATAAAATTGAATTTCGAATGTGTATATATATGTCTGTGAAATCAAATTCAATTAACAATCGACTTATAGAAAACTAAATCAAAATTCATACTTTCTTCTTTATCTCTTCCCATGTATATTATTGCTGGCGGATCGACCACTATAAAATTTAACGTATTTAATAACTTTTATAAGCAAGGGTAAAGTAATATCTAAAGTAATTTCGTCTGTATTTAGCACAGTACCATTACTACTAAAGTAATAAACCATCTCTTTTTAACTTAATTAACAGAATCCTTTGAAGGTATTCTTGCTCGTAATACGTATCGTTGAGAAATTTGACATTTGCTCCTCTCATTGGTTCTTTTGATTAATAATTTTGATTGGCTGATCACAAAAAATGGAGACACAGCAGCATGTGACTTATCTTTCTCCTTATCGGTTATATCAGTGGATATTCCCGAATAAACATTCTGGATATGTTAGCGTTCGCCGATTAAATTCAAATGAATATTCGGTGATAAGTTTCATTTCACAGCCAGTCAGGCTTGAGCAAGCATTTACTATTACACTGCTCTTTCATTCATCAAAATCAATTTTATATATCGGGACTAAATTGAAATTTTAATATCCAATCGATCCTTAACTGTACTTATTTAGGCTGTTATCTGTTCATCTGTTGATCGTTCACTTATTTATGTTGGTAAGAGTTCGTGCAAAGAATCCTATATTATTCAAGAAAACGGATTTTTTTTTTTTTTCGTGAATTCTTTTGTTCGCCAATTTTATTATCATTTTTGCAAATCCATCACATAATAACTTAGATACTGTACATAAATTACAACACAAGATTTTGAATTTAGGACTAATTTATCCTTGAGTTAGACCTTATCTAACTTAGTCACCCCAACATAAATTATTTTAGGATTTTATGCTATACTATTTACCTCTTATGTATTCCCCGCTTCTTACATTTCCTTTTCAAGGTCTTTCCACGCAGGTGGCTACGTAGCTAAAGGTATTCGTAATTCTCACAGTTTACTTCCTCATATGGTAATGGGTATCCTTTCCATTACCTCCTAGCGCTAGTGTGATTACTACACCAAGTCTCCTACACCGCCTAGGCCCTCAACTTCCTGGTCTTTACACTATATACAAATAAATACCGTCAATTATTCTTAAATATGAATGCAGTACATTCGATGAATACATTCGTTATTCTTACATATAGAATCTTTGCTGATAAAGTCATTTCAAAGGTTATTTTGTTTGCAAAATTCCACCATCATGCGATTTACAATGTGTCAGGTTACCTTATTATAATGAAATCATAATTCTGAAAGATGAATTCATTATGAATTTAAGAAATATGAGTGCTGCACAGCAAAACCATAAGTAAAAATTCAAAATTTCACTATTAACCCTAGGTGCCGCACAAAAAATGCGCGGCAGATCCTCGATTTGATTGGCTAACGGCCGAGGACCTTCAAAAATTTGGCCCGCATTACATAATTGTTTACTAATTTCCATCCGGAATTAACTTTTTAATTTTTTCATTACAAAAATAGAAATTTTTAAAAAATAAGCCCGAGTTATAGTAAAATTGGCCCAGGAACAGTTTTCACTTAATGAGCGTCTGCGATCTCATTAGTAAAATTAGTAATTCCGGCCTAATTTTTTGATCGTCGCTCTTAGCCAACCAAAATCGAGGATCTGCCGAGCATTTTTGTGCGGCACCTAGGTTCAATGTCGCAATGCCACGTGTACAATCAGTACTCTAGCTATTTTAAACCAGATATTTTTGCAGGATTTTGCTTGCAGCACTCATATCATGATAAGCAGATTGTAATTATAAATCTGCCTCTAGTTAATGTTTACTGTTAGCCAAAAATTTTTGAACCTTGTATTAAAGCCAGTTGGGTTAAATTTAAATAATTGTAATAAAATTAATAATACTTATAAAATACTTAATTGGTAACCCTTTAAGATAATCTTAAAAATAAATAAAATAAAAGTAAAAATAATTAAATAAAAAATTTAATCTTTTCATATTCCTTTTTTAGCTATATATTTGTTGATATCTTTAATGCAAAATACTATTCCTGATGGGTTCTTAAAAGAACCCGATGCCGATTTTATGATTAGTTATGGGAATACTAAGGTCATGACCCATGATTGACTTATCTGACATTGCCGAACACATTAAGGATATTTGTGCTGAAAAACTTCTTCAATGACCGAAAGCTAATTACCACGCAAGTAATTTTATGTTACTATTGATCTTACAGTCAGATTGGGCAGTAATAATGACATATGGGCCGATTTGAGTAATTTATAAGGCTTATTTTTTGAAAAAGTTTAAATAACTTTTGATCTACTAGTCTGTTTTAAATGATTTTACTACAGTCATCCCTCCATATAGTCACCTTCCATATAATCACATCATATGTAATCACATTTTTATTTAGGCCAAACTATAATTTAATTTATAAGAAAAAAACCTCCATATAAGCACAACCTCTCTATAAGCACATTTTTAAAAAAAGTTACTATGTGCCCAACTGTGTGATTGTATGGGAGGATGACTGTACCAAAATGTTCATCTTTTTCAACGAGCCCAAAATCATTAAAATCCAATCACAGGATCGCGAGATAATGCGCTGTCAAATGGTGATGCATCTAAAGGGTGGGGGTTAATTGGTTAGACATAGACTAACCAATTAACCCCACCCTCTTCTAGGTGTATCACTATTTTATAGCGCATTCCTGTGATTGGATTTTAATGATTTTGGGCTCGTTGGAATAATCATAAAAAGATGAACATTTTGTTAGTAAAATTATTTAAAACCGACTGGTAGATCAAAAGATATTTAGTTTTAAATTTTTTTTAAAAATAAGCCCTACTTATAAATTACTCAAATCAGCCCATATGAGAATGTCAAAAAATTTTTACGCCGTAGCTTTACTCGATAGTAGTGCAGTGTGTAGTTTTTTAAAATCCCATCAGGAGCGGTGGATTTTTTTTTTTCCACCCCATCTGGAATAGTATCAGAAACGGTATTTTTGCTACCCGGATAGTAAATGTAGTCAACCCTTTTTTCGAAACTTTGCAGAATTTGACCGGCCAGGTTATGAAAACTAATTTACAGTCAACTCTCTTTAAACCGAACAGCAGGTTCTTATATGTAAAACTTTTTAAAAGTTCAGCTTACAAAGAGTTATTATTTCGGTTTTCAGAGTTTATCAAATGTTCGGTTTACCCAGGTTCGGTTTAAAGAGAGTTGATTGTATTAAGTTTATATGTGGTATGAGATTATCAAAACATCAAAAAAAAAAAAGTATATCTGATATGTTACACATAACTACGATTATCTATAAATATATCCATATAAATACAAACCCCTGATTTTCAATTTTCAATTCCGAAAAAAATATGGTACATTTATGGCTTCGTGCGGAAACCAAACCAAAAGAGCATCGAGCAGCTTTGACTCCTCATTCTTGTAAAGTTTTAATTCAAAATGGTAACCGGATTAAATTTTTTTTTTCATAAAACAACTTATTTACAACCGAATTAATCTTTAATTTTTTTTATTAGGTTTTCAAATCACCGTTGAAAAATCTGGGCAACGAACTTTTAAGGAAGAAGAATATGAACGGTAAATTCATAATCATCAAATTTGATTGTGAAAACCGGTTTTTCTTATAAAGTAATTGTTTTAATATTAATGCCAGATTATTTATTAACACATGTTAAAATTTGCAGAGAGGGATGTACCATAGTCCCTTCGGGAACTTGGAAAAACGCACCTTCTGATGCTTACATTGTTGGCCTTAAAGAACTCCCAGAAAATGATAATTCGCCACTTTCACATTCTCATATTTATTTTGCACATTGTTACAAAAATCAAGATGGTTGGCAAGATACCCTTAGAAGGTTTACGCAAGGCAGTGGCACCCTTCTTGATTTGGAATTTTTAACTGATGATGACGGTGAGTTTTAATAAGTTTTATATTGTGTGACTTAGCGGGAAATTAATAAACTTAATCTTTATTTAGGTCGACGTTTAGCTGCATTTGGTTTTCATGCAGGATTTGCTGGTGCAGCTTTAGGCCTTGATGTTTGGGCCCAACAACAAATTTACCCTGGAGAAAAGTTTCCATCAGTAGTTCATTTCCAAAATGAAAATGAATTGATTGCTTATATGAATACTCGATTGACTAAAGCAAGTGAGTTATTAATTCCATTATTTCCATTATAATCTAATATATATTGACTTATATTAACTTAAAATCAAAGTCAGAATTAAGGGATGCGCACCACGTATCATGGTTATTGGTGCTCTTGGTAGATGTGGTAGAGGTGCAGCAGAATTAGCGCGCAAACTCGATATTCCCGAGTATGTTTCAAATACGTATTTTTTTGTTCTCCTAAATAAAATTCACATTTTATACAATTTTTCAGAGAAAATATTATTAAATGGGATCTTGAAGAAACAAAAAAAGGAGGGCCATTCCCAGAAATTCTTGAAGCAGATATTTTTGTAAATTGTATTTATCTTAATCAAAAAATTACACCATTTCTTACTAAAGAAATGTTGGATTTACAAAGAAAACTTTCTGTGATCGTTGATGTAAGCTGCGATACTACCAATCCTAACAATCCGATCCCTGTTTATACTGGTTGTACTACTTTTAGTAATCCAACCATCGCAGTGAAAACTAAGTATGTTTATCTTTATATACCAAATATTATTATAAAGACTTTCTAAATTATTTTCTTTTATAAGAAACACACATCCTCTAGATGTTATTGCAATCGATCACCTACCAACTTTATTACCTAGAGAAAGTAGTGAACAATATTCAAAAGATTTACTTCCTTGTTTACTTGAACTATCTAATCGTGATACTTCTAAAGCATGGGTTAAGGCTGAGAAGTTATTCAGAACAAAAGCTTCTTTAATAGATTCCTAATTGTGAGGTAATTTCTTTTTTTATTTTTACATACACTTACATGAACAACGTAACCTGGTTCTATCATAATCACAATTGTAGTATG